TATTAAAAGCAGACTAGATCATTCAGAAAATAGAATCTCAGATGTAGAAGAGAAAATGGCTGGCCTAGAAAAATCCACCACGAAGACTGAGAAGATGGCCCAAAAATTTGAGAATAATATGCGAGAAGTACTGGATACCATCAAACGTCCAAATATCCGGATAATTGGCATTCCAGAAGGTGAAGAGACCCATAAGGGCATTGATAATCTATTCCATGAAATCCTGCAAGAAAACTTTCCAAACCTAGAGAGGCATTCGAAGATCCAGTCCCAGGAAATACAAAGGACCCCAAATAGAATCAACCCAAGAAGATCTTCTCCAAGACACATTATAGCCAGGTTGACCAAAACTGCAGACAAAGACAAGATACTAAGATTAGCAAGAGAAAAACAGCAAGTTACCTACAAAGGACATCCCATCAGGCTAACAGCAGATCTCTCATTGGAAACAATAAAGGCGAGGAGAGAATGGGAAAATATATTCCAAGTGTTAAGAGAGAAGCAGTTTCAGCCAAGAATACTGTATCCGGCAAGATTATCTTTCAGGTGGGAAGAAAAGACAAGAACATTCTCAGATAAACAAAACCTGAAAGAATTTACCAGCACCAGACCAGACCTCCAAGAAGTTCTCAAGGATGTGCTGTATCAGGAAAACTAAACGCAGATACATGGAAATAAGAGTCCAAAAACTGAGAAAGTAGCTAACTTAATCATAGGGACAAGTCTGGAGTTGAATACTATATCCCAGAATTTAATCAGGAAAATTGAACCAGAACAGAAGATAAAAGTATATGAGACTGATAGGTTCATGCACCTACCATTTGAACAGAATCCTAACCTGTTTCCGGGCTTTAAGCAAAGTTCCTTGGCGGTTCTTTGATTTAAGTTAAAACTGGTTTTCTTAGTAGTAACGAGGGAACTCACCTTTGAAAGTAGTCAGGTTATGTAGGAAATTGTGTGATCAATGCAATGTGGGTGGGAAGGGAATGGAGGACAATTTTGGACACTAGAGGTGGTGTGAGAGGAGGGTGGGAAGGGACAGAGGGTCAGAAAGAGGGGTGGAATTAATTCTAGCAACTAGAAGTGGAAATTTATTTTTTTTGTAATGTGCATGATTGAGTCACTATGCAGTGTGTACTGGATGGGAGATTGCATTTTGTGTGCTGTGATGATTCTTATGGAAGGAATGTAAATTGAGTTACAAAAAGTTTCAGGAAAAAAAAAGTATATATCTATTCAATGACTGCAGTAGGATATGTAGCCCCAGCTAGGTGCCGCTTTATAGGATGCGTGAAGTTAGACTTGTGTTCATGGAAATGTGTGTATCACCTGTGTTTG